AAATGCCTGGCTGAAATCAGAACGGGGACCCAGCCCAAAGAGCCAGACCTCTCCAGAAGCACCCCACGCCAACACCACCCAGCCCTCCTGAGTCTCCCCTTCTCCCCACCCAGGCCCCTCTCCCATTCTCCGTTGATGCCCATAAACCATCGGGTGGGCATCGCCCAGTATGGGCGTCTCAGCCCCTCTCCAGCAGCAAGGCTCTTTGAAACACATGAGCAAAAAACAGCTTACAAGGTCTGCACCCATCACAGGCACCCATTACAAGATGAGAACGGGACAGGGTGACTTCTAAAGTAATACTTCTGAATGGAAACAACACAAAACCTCTTATAACCAAAGGAATTATAAGTCTTAGGAGAAAACAGTCTTATGTTGACATAGTTCTAGCTATTGACCTGTGTGCATACTATAGAAACTTTCTGAAATTGATTACACTTTCCAACACATTACCATAAAATCTCTAACTTTCCACCCAAATCCAATTTCGCTTATATTTGAACTGGAACGGCTCCTCATGAATTCCTCTACACTGTAAACATCACCAGCACCTCAATAGGAAATACACGACACCATCATTTTTTAAGAGTAATTTTGAAGTATACTACACAACTAGATGTTTTTAAATACATTATCATAATATTAACATAATCAGCAATGAAAGAAAATTATCCATTGTTTGCTAACAGTTATGCTAAAGAGATGCAGTGAGTAGAAAAAAAGACATGCCTACAATTTAAAAAAAAAACAGATATTTCAGTCTTCATTCAAAATTGTCTCTTACTATTTTCATCACCCCATGTGAATAAATAATAATTAACAAAATTAAACTTAAATATTCAGAAACCATAAGCAGGTGGTGCCTAAATGTTTTCATGAATGAATGAATGGGCTTGACCAAACCCCTTCCCTATAGGCACTCCCCCCTACACACACATAAACACACTCACACACATACACTCCCAGCAGAACAGGGCAGCCCTAAGTAGCTGACAAATACTAACAAAGGAACACATGTAAATACACGCTATGGCCCCTCCCTGTGGGATTACAACCTATGTGTACAGGGTGAGAGGGCAGGGATGAGTCTGAACCACCTAAGATAAATTGTTTACCCAGACACTACATGTTTTCACGGAATATTTCTTGTTAATCTCATTTATAAAAGAAGTTTACCTCCGAAATCTACTGAGCTCATCAAATTCCCATTCTTTGATATTTTGCCACGAGAACGCGGCCGGAAGTTCATCGTTCGGCGTTTCCTGGAAGACCAGGGGCCATTTTAGGATCTAGCATTTTTCCCCTCCTCTAGGAAATGAGCTCCAGCTGAGGGCTGAATCTGAAAATCCATTCCTCCAGCTTGACACAATGTGAGGCATCGGTGACTGAAGGTTTTTCTTTTTGTATGTCAAGGTGAGCTTCCGGGCTTACCACTGCTGACCACTGACGGGAGATGGTCCCCGTCTTGACAGAAATGCAGATCCCAGAACTCACAGGTGTTGAGTCTCACCCGGAAATCGTCTGGCCTCCTCCACTCGACATATTTACAGATCACACTAGGATTACCGGAACCCGGTTCGAGGGGACGCGCCCCCCGCCCCCACCAGCCACATACTTTGGTCACATAGCTTCTGCCACACCTGAAAATGAGGATTTTCACAAAGTTTTTATTCCAGGTTGCTGCTTCGACATGCTGCCTCTCCCTTCCCCTTAGAACAGCAGGCCTAACTCACAGGAAGTCCAACCATTAGGATCTCCAGAATTGAAAAAATAGAAATAAAAAACAGCTGAGTGGTTGGTTTTCTGTCTCGGCTTTATTGCACAGTTCAAAGCCAGGATTACGGAGGTCGTTAAGCAGTATTGTCTCTGTGACATGATTAGTCAGGTAGCAAAGTCCATTTGTCACCTGCAGCAGCAAATTGAGTTAATACTGCACTACAGGCTATGGGGACTGTATAATATCAACGTGATTACATCAAGCGGGCTGCAAACCTGACAGCTCACTGAATTTGTCGGCATTAATCGTTACGCCTGTCACAAATCCATCAGGTTTACAGATAATTAGGGGCCTGTTAATGAAGCTGGCTAAACAACCTTACCTTTTTTGATAATTAAGAAGCCGCTTCATTACGAAGGAGCCATTTCCTCTGAGCAGTAGTTCTTTATTTTTTTATATAAAGAGGATTCATTTAGATAATTTTCCCTTCCTCTCTCATCACTATGAAGTATTGCTATTCTACATCTGTCACCCACCAACTTCCTGGCGACCAAACAATCAATTATTTGACACTAAGATATTCTAAAGAAAAACTCATCAGTTACGGATGGAACAGTGAGGCAGGCCAATGAATGTGCAGCTTTAAGGGGAGGGGGGGAAAGCCAGTCAGGATGTTATAATAAAAACACTTTGGAAAATAGCATGACTCCCATATGTATATAATTGCCCTCTCTCTTTTCCTGAAAATGAACAAATAATATTAGCTACAAATGTATTCTGGCTACTTCCAGAGGGAACGTTAGAAACGTGGAAGATTCCTATTAAATGCTTAAGATGAAGGAAATCAAGATTTTCTCACCTAAACCATGACAAATACATCGAAGACTTATGCCAACATAAATATTAGTGAAAATAAGTGAGTGTGAACCAGTGTCTTTAAGTTAATGGAAGTAACTTCAGATGAAAGCAAACAGCTTTATTTTGCTAGGAATCCACCTTAAGTAGTGTTTTGTTTTTTTTTTTAATGGGTAAGGGGGGTAAGAGCTAAACAATGGCTCATTTAATGAACACAAGAGTCCTGCAGGTTTGGAATCAGAGTAGAGATAATAAACCCTGTAATTAAACTTACACAGGACCTCTTAGTATGGAATCTATTTTTGAAATCTCACTTCAAAACACAGGATACTTGGAACATGTCTCAATTTCCTCTCAACTAAAATATATTTTGGCTCCATTTTTTTAGGGTTTTTTCCCCTCTCAAGTTCCTGTACAGCAGATGACTCAGTCATCAGCTCCTCACGGCCATCACTTTGCAGCATTTTGATTAAGTATGCCAAATGTCGTGTAGAGGAAAGAATGGAAACACTGAGCCTGCCAACTTTTGATTGACCATTAAAGCCAATGATATATGTGCCTGTCAAAAGACAGACAATTAAATCAATATTGGAAAAAAGTCGCCTTGACGGCTTGTTTTTATGTAAGAGCTGCCAGGATGGATTACCATGCACCATCATGCCCTTGTCAACTTTCAAACCTTTTATTAAAAAAAAAAAAAAAAAGGTGGTATTTAAAGTTGCAGTACCTCATTCCCTCAGCATTTTGTTTGTCCTCAGAAACATCCACTGCACTCTAACTGCAAAAGTTCTTCAGTGCCCACGAGTCATCTTCAAAATCCAACTTTTCAATGTACCTTCTGTCATATAAATCCCTCTGGTAGTAAAAACGCTAAGAGACCTCTCACTTTCAGCACAAGCAAAGGGTGAATGTCTTTATGGATGGTGCTATACATTTAGGGGGTAGCAGGGAGGCACATACTCTCTGCAGTATCTTACTGCACTCTTCAAAGTTTTATTAAAAAAAAATAAACATTCCCCTTTCTGTCCATTTTATGCTATGAATGCTGAACATCAAAGTTGCCTCTGCTCTGGCAAGCATTTCTCTCAAGGATCTAACAGAAGTCATTAACTTCTTTTATTTGACCCCTTGTACATGTGGATATTATTTGTGAGATTTGGGGGAGCAATGACCTCTGCTTTAAACTCTTCCCTAGAAAAGGCATCTATGGAGACATGAACAGGAGCCCATTACTGAGGGTAACGCTAAAAATTATTCAGATTCAATTCTATACTGCAACAAACAGTCACACTTGTTTAAACACAAAACACCCTTTTATTACTTCCCCCCCCCCCACCAACAGCTTGGGGAGAGTTGATTTACTCTCTTACTTAGTGATAACTCACTAGCAGATCGGTGGTACTCCAAGCTCCATAAACAGTGTCCAAAATCGAGACAAGACTTCAGTAGGCAGCGGAAAGAACTATCCGGCTATTTTCAGACCTGCAGTGAAAAATGCACTGCAGTCGACCCACGCCAGGGTCTCAGCCATGGATTAGGTGAGCTGAGTTGAGGATGCTGCAGCTGTAAAACTTCTGAGACAAAATTAAAATGGAGCAGGAAAAAGGGGGAGCGAGAGAGAAAAGTCGCCCTGAGAGTGGCTGAGCTGTCAGGAGCATGTGTGTTTCCATGGTGAGTGATTTATTGATGTTTATCAGGAATGAATAGATCAAAGGCCGCCGGATGACAGGCGATCAATCACACATCAAATCAAGGATGGCAATCCTCTAATAAAACAGAAAACAAGGAAAACCAGCTCCTGCCAGTTCCTCCTCCAGAGAAAAATAACTTTTCTGTTCAATCAGATTCTGCACTATCACTGCCTTGTGCTGGCCTGATCAAAAGACATCTTTAGAGGTAATAAAAAAGGGGGGGGGGGGGGCGTGGGGGGCAGAAGCCTCTTGCACAAGACATTAAAGGCTGCTATTTTCCAGAGAAATCCTCCGACTGCATTCCTTGCGTCCCAGGCCGGTGACCTTATTTCAAGTGTCAGGTTCAGCCTCCCCGCCTCCGGAGGACTTTCCCAGCGCGCTCAGGCCGCGGAGGAGCTACGTCTGCCCGGCGCACGCCCCCTCCCGAGGCGGCCAGGAGCTCCGGCGGCCTCCCGGCCTCCCCCGGCCTCCCCAGCCCGTCGGGGCTCCTCGCCGCGCCGTGGAGCGCCGTGAACTTTCTCCGCTCCGCGCGCCGGCCCAGGTGGCGGGACGAGGACGGCTGCCCCGGGGCGCCGGCGACCGGGCGCGGGCCGGGCCTCGCTCCCGGGCCCAGAGGGGGAGCGCCGCCTGCGCCCCCGCCCGCGCCCCCGCCCCGCGCGCCGGCCGCCGGGCCCCCCCGCCCCCCGCGCCGCGCCCCCCGGCCCTGCTCCCCGCGGCGCGGCCCGCGCGCCCGTTACCTGCCGAGCGCCGGGGGGCCTGCTGCTTCCTCCTCGGCATGCTGCTCGGGCCTCAGCCGCAGCCGGAGTTCGCGGGGCGCGGGGACGCGGGGCCCCGGGCGCAACTCCGCGGCGCGCCCAACTCTGGCCTCGTCCCCGCGGGCTCCGGGCTCCGGGCGCGCCGCGGTCCGCGGGGCGCCGCTCGCATGGACGGCCGCGCCCGGGGCCGCTCAGGAGGCGGCGGCCGCGGCCGCGCGGGCCGCGTCCCGGCCGCCGGGCTGCGGGCGGAGCGCGCGGGGCCTGGGCGCCGAGCCCGGAGTCATCCCCGGCGCGGGCCGCGGGCGCAGCGGCGGGCGCTCGGAGGGCCGGCCCGCGGCCCGCGCTCCATGCTGCCGCCTCCCAGCCGCCGCGGTGCTGCTGGCGGGCGCTCCTCCGGGCGCCGCTGCGGGCGCTGCCCTGCGCCTTCCTCCGCGAGCCGAGAGTCTCGGAGCGCAACTTTCTCTCCCCCTCGCTCCAGGCGGTGCGGGGGTCGCGGCGAGTGTTTTTAGTGCGCGGGTCGCAGCTTGCTCATTGTGCGCCGGCGAGGCCGATCCGGGCTGTCCTTTTCCTCCCCGCACTTAGTCTAAGAGGAAGAAAGCAAACAAGACAGGAGTGAAGCCCCCGTACATACATGCGCCGGGGGGAGATGTCAGGCGCTGCTCCACCTTCCAAACAGTCACAGATCAAACAGTGTCACCCGCCGCCGGAGCGCCACTCGCTGCCCCGCGCTCCCCGCGGGGCTGTGCCGCCAGGATCGCCGCTTCTTCGGAGGCGAAATCTAATGCAAACACATTTTGATCATGGATTTTTGGCCGGTCTTGATCTTCCAACAGAAAAATTTTGAAAAATACACAAAAAGCACCCCCTTTCCTAAAAAAAAAAAAAAAAAAAGCCAACAACAACAACCCGGAGAGTGTGCGCGAAGGGGTGAAGAGCAGACATTCACTGGGTGGGCGAGATGAGCGTGGACGGTCCCCCCCAAACTCCTGGGAGAGAGGAGATGCACTCTCGCTCGCTCCTCTTTTCAGTGAAATATAACACACATTCGGATCGCAGAGCTTTCAGACAGTCTCAACTGATAGACAGACACATCGAGCTGCTTTTCCGGCTTCAGTTTTTACTCCTCCTCCTCTCGCCAACGTCACCCTGACAATTACAAATAGGTCTCTCACAAACCATACCTGTCAATCTTTTTAATTGCTTTGTTTTCTTCCCCCCCCCCCCGAGCTAAACAATATGACACAAAAAAGAAATCTTAATACGGCATAACATAAAAGATTGCACGTTGGAGAAAGACATTGAGGGGTTTGTTATTGTAATCCACCGGCTGACCGTGGGTGAAGCCCATGTGTTATAAGCCAAGTTGAGTAGACACTAGTTCCTGCAGATTTTTAAACCTGCGAGTCTCCCCCTCCGCCCCCGCTTGTACACTCACACACACGCACCCACGTGGACAGAAACTACCCTTGGACGAGGAATGTCCGACATTTGAGATAAAAATACCTGTGTCACTTTTGCAATCCTAGTTTGGGGGTTAGATGTGATTGCGGAGGGGCACTGTGCGGCTTTTATATTGTGGTAATTAATGGGTAAGTGGACAATAAGGAAACATGTTTCACTACAATGTATTCCTTTAATAAAAATTTAATGATGGACTTTGCTCATTACACACAAAAAATGTGGAAAATATTTAATCTGGCCCCTCTGTGAGACGTGAATTGATTATTTGGTCAATACAAACAGGGAGATAATTGACACGATGGAATGGCAGATCTTTCTAGCTGGGTTATAAGAAAAGGTCCTCATACATCATGGCAACGTCTCCAGTTCCATTAAGGCCCTCGGCACCCCAACCCCCAGCCCCCACCCCAGAAGTTTAAGATGTTAGTGTGCTCAGGAATTTGACCCTCTGGTTTCCAGTATCTGTGTTTCTTTCCCAGTGGGAAACCTGTAACAGTCTTGTAGAGGCCACTTAAAACAGTTATGGAAAAACATGAAGTCTTAGCCAAAATAAATAAAATGGCTTAGTTCGTGCAACTTACATGGGACAGACTAAGGGCAAGAAGGCACGGGCGAGGCGTCGGGAGGACGAGGGCCAACAGCCTGGGGCGCAGGATGCCCTGGGCGCCCCCCGCCCGGCGCTGGGTGCTCCTGCGCCGGCACCGGCGCCCAGGGCTCCCCGCCCGGCCCCGGGCCCGGGCCGTGCCCCGCCGCCCCGGCCGCGCTCGGGGTTGATTCGTACCACCTTGCAAGGAAGTGAACGCTCCGCACGGGAAGGGGAGGCGCCTGCGCCGGCCGCCGGGCGCCGCGCAGCTCCGAGGACGCCCCGGGCTGCCGCAGGCTGTGGGCCGCGGCGGTCGCGGGACGCGCGGGTGCCCTCGCCCCCCCCGCCCCTCACCCTTTTAGAGGAGTCAAATCTGGCTTTTAGACCGTGGGGAGGGTGGGGATATCCGGTGCCTCCCGGGCGCCGGGAGGAAGGGGGAGGGTGGAGAGGATCCTTGGCCAGTCTGCGCCAAGCAGATTCAAACCAAAACAAAAAGATTAAAGGAGCAGCGGCCCGGGCAGCAGCGATCCCCTGGCCCAGACCTCGGGGGTGGCGCGCCCGGGAACCGCGGGGGCTGCGCGGACTCCCCGCGCAGCGCGCGGCGGTGCCGGAGGGGGGAGCGGGCGCCAAGCGTAGTGGGGAAGTAGGGGGGGGGAGTCGAGGGGAGGGCGCGGGCCGGAGGAGGGGCGGACCCGCCCGCTCCGCCCGCCGCGCGGAGCCGAGCCTCGCCGAGCGGCCGGGACTGGGCGCGACCCCGGCCAACGGCGGCGCAGAAAGCAGGCAGAGGCGCGGGCCATGCAAAGGCTAGCGCTCGCCGGGACCCGAGCCATCGTGGACATGTCGTACGCCCGCCACTTCCTGGACTTCCAGGGCTCGGCCATCCCTAGCGCGATGCAGAAGCTGGTGGTGACCCGGCTGAGCCCCAACTTCCGCGAGGCCGTCACCCTGCGCCGGGACTGCCCGGTGCCACTCCCCGGGGACGGAGACCTCCTCGTCCGGAACCGGTGAGCCCGGCGCGCGTCCCCCGCCCCGGCCCCGGCCCGCGCCGCGCCGCGCCGTGCCGCTCCAGGGCTGTCCCGCGCCCGCCGGCGTCCCCACTCCCGGCGCGCGCTCGGGCGCACAGCCCGACTTTGCGAGATCCCGGGAAGTTGAACCCGCCGCCATCTGGCGAAGGCGAACGTAATAAGACTGTTGCCGGTGTGAATATCCGATGGCACCGAGCGTCCTCATAACGGAGGGTTATTTTAATTTGGGATTCCCCTCCCCTCCCCCAGCCCTCCCTCCTCCTCCCCCTCCCGCTCCCGAAATAAAACCGACGGGACCCAGAAGGGGAGGCTCCCTGCCCGGCCCACCCGCGCGCACCCACGGCTCCAGCGATCGCCTAATCTTTAGGGTGGAGTTGGGAACAGCCTGGACACAAACCGCGACGTTTAGGTAACGTGCTTTGGAGGAAGGAGGCCGGGGCCCGGCTGGCTGTTCCTGTCCGCTCCAGGTTGGCAGCTGCCTGGCTGTGGTGGAGCCTGTCGTTGGGTGTGTTGGAGTGCACCTCGCCGGTGCCGTCTGCGTGTTGTCAGCTGTGTGTGACTGTCGTCTGTGCCCTGCAGTGTACAGCGGAGCGCGCGTCCCGGGCGGCGGGCCGGGGCGGGGGCATGGCCGCAGGTTTTGCAGACTGGATGAGGCTCGGGTCGTCGCCCGACCTTCGGACTGTCTTTTCCACCTCCACACTGCCCACCTTAATTTGTTTCCATCTCACTAATCCTTAGTAACTGCTGAAGCAACAAGAGGGAAGGGACCTCACTCTGCAGAGCCGTGACCGCGGCTCTGCCGGTGGGTCCCCTCGCTGCCTGACTTGCAGGCGGGGCGTCCGCTTCCTCCATGCCCCTTGGCGAGAGCGGGGCTCGCCCGCCCGGTTAGTCCCGTCTGTGGGGCGAGTGTTGCATATTTCAGGTTGCGTAATACTTTCGGAGGGAGAAGTAACTTTTGGTTGTAACCAGGTTGTCAGTGGTGTGCTCGAAATCACCCGGTCCTCGGCGAGGACTGAAGGACCGTGTATCTTATCTAATCAGCTTGGGGCAATGCTGAACGGTCCATTTTTAGAGATTCGTATCAGCCTTCCAAACCTGGCTGGGAGACTTCGGAATTCTGACCAGGATGTCAAATTTCTGGGAACCTGTTGGAGAGGTAGAAACCAAGTGAGCCAAGGGTGGGGCTAAGTGGAGGCTGGGAAAGGGGTGGGGGCAGGGGGCGCCCGAACCGGTGGGCTGAAGTGCACCGCTGGGACCCGGGCGTCGGAGGATTTCTTCATCAGTACCAGGAACCGCTAAGGCAGTTGAGATCCAGATGCGCGTCCTGCCAAGTTGAAAAGAAGGGTGGGTGAGTGTTCACGCAGGACATACAAAACACATGAGTGATTTGCTGGAAACGAGACGAGACTCAGATTGAAAAAACCACCGAAGAAACCCAACAGGCAAAGTTTCACGCAGGCTTTTTCTTTTTTTACCCCCTGATACTGCTCACTGTGAACGGTGAGCCCTGATGGCACACACCACGGCTGCTTGGGAAAAGAACACCTTTTACAACCAGGGTGTGAAGTGGGGAGGGGGCGGCTGAGCGGGGCGGGCAGGGGAAGGTGTGAAGTTCCCGCACTCCCAGCAGCCGTGCGGTGGGACCCCCGCCCGCACCGCCGTGGAGGTGTTTCTGCCCGCAGGACCGGCCTACCCGCCTGCGGGGCACCAGCTCCGCAGGGTGTGTGCCCCTTCCCCGCGCTGGGTCACCAGGGCCGGTCCCCGAACTGGGTGGTCGGTCGGAGTTCTGGAGCGCCGGCTGCCATGTTGGATGCACTCAACTTGGGTTGCTTTAAGATCCACGCCTCTATCTTCCGTCCACAGATGCCAAGAATCCCTTTAATATAAATAGGATATTTATAGTCACCGCTTGACCTCTAACTTCTACCTTGAAATCCGTCACAAAAGAAGGGGGCGCGTTTTCTGCTTATGGGGAGGGGGCGGACCTCTGCCTGTCCCTCTCCTGACTCTGCTGGAAAATCTGCTCCTACCCCCCAAACTGTGGGAAGGTCCTTTATTCTAGCAAACGTTGTCAGTAAGAGTGGCATTTTACCGATTTTTTTTTTTTAAAGAATACTTCACTACAGGTTAGTTCATTTTAACCCCAGACCAAATCGCCCCGAACAGTGTCAACTGCCTGAAAATTCTGTGCAAGAGCTTCTCATTTTTATCATCATAATAATAATCATAATCTGCTCCGGGGTGAATGGATTCAGCCCATATTCACCTGTTTGGAAAGGTGTCTGGGGAGGGGGGTGTTTAATTGTGCTCCCTCTGACTTTCTCTTTCAGCGGAACATTTTGCACGTGTCTTTCCATTTTAACAGAAAATACAAATTCTTTATTCACAGTGACGGAGGTGCTTTTTAAGACATCGATTTAGCATAATCAAGTTTATCATTTAGGAAAGGTGTGAGAAGGGGACCTAGAATCCTAAAACGTGTCCACGCCTTTCCTTTATCCACTTCTGGCCTTCCGCTTTCTAACATCCGAGGAAACCCTGCTTCCCTCCTCAGAAAAGAGAAGAAAATAGAGGGGGAAAGACTCCGACTCCCTCTGGTTCAGTTCACGCACTATTTTTAGATTTTTCTTTTTTTGCAAGATGCTGCCACATTATTTCGTTTCCAAATAATTCTAACGATTTTCTGTTCAAATGTAAGTTAATGGAGCAGAGAGTTTGTAGGACCGGCACAGAGAAGGTGGGGGATGGGGAGGGCATTTTTGATAAACCGTTTGTTGCTCACGGGAGGGTAACTATTCCTGCTCATTCTCCAGGCCGAGATTTTTTTTCCCCTTCATTCTTGCTTTTCTTTTCTTTATCCCTTTTTCTTTCTTTCTTTCTTCCTTTCTTTCTTTTTTTTAAGGAAGGTCTGGTTTGGCAGACTTTGTCTCCCAGTATTGAAGGTTTTGCTCTGGACTTGAGTCTTCGGGTTTGATTTTTGTTAACAGAAAACCCATTGCCTCCTCTCGGACCGCTGCACTGTTTTACAATAAACATGACGAAAGGCCTCATCGCTTTTTAGTGTAAATAAACCGAGTGACTCTGGAAGGGTATATATTTGGGGAGAGCCCCAAACATCCCGTTCTTTTCCCCGGGGCTCCTCGATTTTTGTCTTTTGCATGGGTCTGCCTGTCGGATCGTTAGACCCCTGGACTCATTAAAAGCACGTAGTTTAAAGGAGTACAGGGTAGTCTCCAAATGCACGCATCCTCCCTAGCGCGTCTTCTTTTTCTCGCTCACTCGCCCTTTCTGTCCGCTGTTCCCCAAACCCGGACCCCTGCCCACCGCGCCTGCCGCTCTTGAACTTGTTTCTGATGGAGCTGAAGGCGCCGGCTCCCACTCCTCCCAATCCTCTTCCCAAAGCCCAGGTAAGAACCAAGGCACGTCCGGGCAGTGGCGGGTCCCCACCAGCCGCGGTGGCGGCGCCGCGTCAAAGCGGGGGTTCAGGGAGAGGTGGGGGGCCGCAACCAGAGGGACGACCCTGGAGAGGGGGAGGTGTGCAGAGTCGAGTACAAACTCAGGATTCCTTCACCGACGACGCAGGCGATTTAGAAGACTGCAGGGTGGGGTGAAGAGACACGAAAAATGGGGGTGCCTGCGAGGGCAAGGTCACGGTCTGGCCGCCGGCGGCTTTTGTCGCGAGGCCGATGTTCTCAGGAGCGCCGCGTGCCCGGGGCTCCCCTGGCACTCGATCGCCGCTGGGCCCGAGCTCGGCGGCCGGTGCGGACTGGACGCGCCCGCCGGGATCCCGGCTTGGCCCAGGGAGGCTGAGGTCACGGTCGCGGGCCTGGGCGGCGACCCGCGCGACTCCAGCCCGCTCCGGGAGTCGGACTCACGGATCGCATCTGTCCGTGGTGGCGGTGGAGAGGCCGCGGGACGACGGCACCGGCCGGGTAGTCGGTGGAGGCCGGGCACTTGCGAGGGGAGACCGTCCAAGAAGCGCGGGTTTCTGGCGCCCTGCAGGCTGGCCCGGGCGCATCAAGGGCGCCGCAGGGAGCGGGGACGTGGACCTGGCGCGGGGCGGGCCCTCTGGTCTCCGGCCCACGCTCCAGCGCTGGCCGGGCTCCACCGCCATGTCTGATTTGGGTTTTTAAGCAAAGCCCCCTTGGTGAGCTCAAGCTGCCGCTGGTGGGCTGCAAGCGCCGAGCTCCCGGCAGAGCCCACCCTGCCCCCCAGCGCGCGCGCGCACACGGGCCCTCTAGGCCCCCTCTGCGCCGATGCCCTCGCCCCGCCGCCGCTGGTCTCCCAGGCGTGCGCCCTGCTCGGTCCGCCGCCTCCCGCCTGGAAGTGGCAACCACAGCCCCGGGCGGCGGGGGCGGTGATGGGGCTGCCTTTTTCTCCAGCAGCCCTTCCCGCTTGCCAGCCCCCTCCCCCCAGTTCGCTCCGGTTTGGAGGTGAGGGTGACCCGAGGGGCCGAGTCCAAGGCAGGGGCTCCCGCAAGGGAAGAGCCTCTGTGGTTGAAAAGACAGAAACGCCAGCGCGGTGGGGTGGGGTTGCGGGGGCAAGACGGGAGGGGCGAAGGCCTCGGGAAGGGCGAGCCTAATCCTGCGCAAGGAGAACAGAGCAGGCTACCCGCCCTGGCCCCCACCTGTAAGCACAGCCCACCTCCCCGCCCCCGCCGGCCGTCCTGCAGCCGGCCTTCCAGCCCCAGCGATCTGGCATCCTGAGGCACCCGACTGGGCTCCACTGCCGCCTTCCCTGAGGTCCGGAAGCACGCGCTCAGGACACTAAGCCAGGCCTGGAGAACTCGGCAAAGTGAAAGGAAAGATGCCCGGCCCTCCCCCACCCAAAAGATGGAACGTGGGCATCTTGGCATTAAATGCCAAATGAGAGCCCACCACAATCCATTATTCCCGCTTCTTATTACTGTGTCCTGTTCGGGTATGGAATCCTGTAAGGTGATTGTGAGGCCTTGTGTCTGGTAACTTCTGAAAGCTGCTGGGCCAGCCCGAGGGAGAGTTTCCTGCTTTCTTATTTCTGTTGATAAGATATGTAGAGTGTCCAGTCGTGTATGCTGGGCACCGTCATAGGGGTGCATTTAGGAGGGCAAAGTATTGTCTATATATACAGTGGAAGTGGATCCTTGTGCGAGGCAGTTTGGGGTTTAAGTTAAATTAAAAGTAAATAATTTTAACATGAGACCTACTTACCAGTTTCCCCCTGCCACCAGATCCCCCAACCTTTTCCTTTCATTACAGGTGGAAATGGCATCTTTAGGGTCCTCCAGCTGTGTGTCTCAGCCACGTCCGGACATCCTTAGGAAGATGGCTTTTTTCCTTATGTATCAGGATATTTTTGTTATGAGGTATACTGAGATGAAAAAAAGCTGGTAAAAATACCAGCCTGGCAATTAAATTGACTCTGGATACCAAAGTGAAAATAATCATCTGGTATTAATCAAGTATGTCTCTGCTTCTTGTTGAGGGAAAATATAGTGTCGATTTGCTTTCCTTTTCATCTGGGAAAGACTGTAAAATGTTGGATGTTCCTTAAAAATCTCTCTACCCTTATGAGACAATTTTTGTTCAATTAATCAAAATGCATATTTTCACACTGGACACAGTTACATCAGAAGGAAAATTTGCTGCAGCCTCTCTCACACTGTTTGAAACAACCCCTGCAGTAACGTGTAACATCCAGTGACCTTGCACATTACATCAATCTTTAATAATATCATTGTCATTACTATTATTATCTGAAGTGTTAAATTGTTGCCAGAATCAATACAAGTCTACCTCTTTGAATATATTTTATCCCACTGTTGTTTTTAACATCTTTGTTAAGAGACCAATTAATTTCCAACTCATAGCTCCAATGAAGTTTGTGTATGAAGCCTTCCTGAATTTTTTTTCCTCTCTTTTGAAAGAAAGAGAAAGGGAATTAATGGCGTATGAAATAAATAACCTGCTGTTTAGAGGGATGTGAAATTACTCCTAAACTAATGAAAGACTACAATATACCAAAACTCTGATAACAGAATCACTGTTGAGCTCACATTTGTTTGATTTCTTTCTTTCTTTTTTTTGAATGCATATCAAGAGTTTTGGGTGTTTTTTTTTCTTCGAAATCTGTCAGAATAGATAGCAGCTTCACCACCCTCCACGGTTACCAGAATTAGAGGAATGGAAAAAGCCATGACAAAGAAAGCACCTGAATGTGTTTGTGTGTTTGTTTTCCTCCAGATTTGTTGGTGTCAATGCATCTGACATCAACTATTCGGCTGGCCGCTACGACCCTTCCGTGAAGACCCCCTTTGACGCGGGCTTCGAAGGTATGGGCGAGGTGGTGGCCTTGGGCCTGTCTGCCAGCGCCGCATACACGGTCGGCCAGGCCGTGGCCTACATGGCTCCTGGCTCCTTCGCTGAGTACACAGTGGTGCCCGCCAGGGTCGCCATCCCAGTGCCGGCCCTGAAACCCGAGTATCTCACGCTCCTGGTGAGTGGGACCACAGCCTACCTCAGCCTGAAAGCGCTCGGGGGGCTGTCGGAAGGGAAGACAGTCCTGGTGACCGCGGCAGCCGGGGGCACCGGCCAGTTCGCCGTCCAGCTCGCAAAGAAGGCCAAGTGCCACGTCATTGGGACGTGCTCTTCTGCCGAGAAATGTGCTTTTCTGAAGTCTGTTGGCTGCGACCGGCCCATCAACTATAACGCGGAGCATGTGGGTGCCGTCCTGAGGCAGGAGTACCCCCAAGGTGTGGACGTGGTGTACGAGTCTGTCGGGGGAGCCATGTTTGACTTGGCCGTGGACGCTTTGGCTACCCGAGGGCGCTTGATGGTGATCGGGTTCGTCTCTGGCTACCAGACTCCTACTGGCCTGTCGCCCGTGAAAGCAGGAACACTCCCAGCCAAACTGCTGAAGAAATCTGCCAGCATCCAGGGCTTCTTCTTGAACCATTACCTTCCCGAGTTTCGAGGTGCCATGGACCACTTGCTCCAGATGTATGCGGGTGGCGAGCTGGTTTGTGAGGTGGACACCGGGGGTCTGTCTGCAGAGGGCAGGTTTACCAACCTGGAGTCGGTCTTCCGGGCCGTCGATTATATGTACATGAGAAAAAACACTGGGAAAATTGTCGTTGAATTACCTCCCTCTGTCAACAGTAAGCTATAAAAGCAGAACAATGGCATAAATAAAAGGAGAAAGAAAATGGGCATTTTATGCCCCAGAATTACTCAAATCAATTTATTTTTAGTTGGTAATGGAGATAATATTTTTTTAAAACAAAAGTAAAGTTTAATGAATAGGTCTCTCTCTTTTCTTTGCTTCCTTTTTTTTTTTTTTTTTTTGCTTTCCCTTGCCAAAAAAAGTGCTAATAAAACTTCCCTCCATGGCACAGAGGTAAAACCTTTACATTCAGTTCTTTGCTCATGGACAGTCTCATTCCAGATTTTATTGTTCCAGGGAACTAAATTAATTCCTGATGCAAGATCTGATCAAATCAGCATGTCTTCAACTTGATGAGATTTTAAAATCAGGCTTGAAAATAGTTCATGAGTTCTTTGCTATGGGAGATTTTGGTATAATGCTAACAAGTTGTTAATACATGAGAGGGAGAGCAAAAGTCAGTCAGTTCTCAGAGTCCATATTCTCAGGAAATGGCCCTTCTCCTTCCATAAATTACCAGCCAATTCTGTAAATAGAAATTTGGAGGGATTCTCCCAAAACTCTGACTCTGTTAGGTCATTAGAAAAAGAAAATTAAATGAGCACAGACCTCTTTTAAAGAAGTATCTCTTTATTTAATGATTTTATACACAATCATGCTGGTGAGGCATGTGTGGGATGGAAAATTTCTCTCTCTTCCTTTAAGAAGCAAAGTAGTGTTGAAAACTTACATAGACAAAAGAGCAGGTTTGGTAAAGGGAAACTAGAGATTCGGGAGACTTTACAAATTTAATACATGCACGGGAAGTGAAGAAGGGTGTCCTCCATCCACAGTGAGAGTCAGCATAACAAACACGGGCCTTACGGGAAAGCTCTGTGGATGCGGAACAGCGCCCTTCATCTGCCTACTGGGGTGTGTAAGACAGTATCCTGCAAAGCAGGGACTGAAGCTACCTAAACTGAGTGTGCGTTTGCTTCACATCTGAGACCTTGGGAAGGTGGGTTTTCTCTCTGATCGTGGAAGCAGAGTAGCCATCACTGATGCCTGTCCCATTTCAGTTCTCCATGTGGCCTGTTGGGACAAGATGCTTCTTGTCACCATCACCAGATGTCACCCCCGTGAAGGTAACCAGTCCTGCGCCTTTCCCTCTGAATCAAGCCCACAGCTGATCCACCTTCGTCCCCACCTTCCTCAGCTCCCCAAAGGCTGCTCTGGTTTTCATCACTGAGGTGGGAACCCCATCCTGCCTTTCTAACGAAGCCACACCCACCAGACTGTTTTTCAGAGCCTTGGGTTTCAGCATCTCTAACATGCTAAACAAATAGACACGCGATTAGAGATATTTGAGGAAACTTGGTGACCGCATTTAATTTTTCTCTCTTTCTGTCTGAGGAGCAAGGCAGTCCTACCACTGAATAGCTGTTAGGATCTATTTTACAAGATTTACTCATTTTCAGGTACCTAATGTAGCTGCTAGCATGCATGCACAACAATACAATTTATATGGTAAATGGGGCCAAATAATGGCTTCACTGAATGTTATGGCTGCACTGAAGGGAAATGTCACGGTAAATAGTTGCCAAATTATGGATCATGCCGGAGTGTCACAACTGCACTAAAGACAAATAGCACCGGAGGCTATTGCCACCGTGACGCTTTTGAGTTATGAAGAAGGGTAACAGCCCGATGGGAGGCTCTTTGCGTCCTCATTATAGCAAAGGGTTACTAGTGCAGGGCACCAGAGAAGCCAGGCCAGTGTGCTGCTCCGTTATTAATCTGTCCTGCTCAGACCTAACAGCTGTAGCGAAACCGAAGGGGACTTTGCCTCCCTTTTTGAGGCCCAAGCAAACAAAGGGGAGGGGACAGGTTTTATGAATGTAACTGCAAGGGAATGGCTGGGAGTGGAGCAACGTTGTCATCAAATCAGCTCATCAGAGAATATTATTCACTGTAAGGTAGTCTCTGTCTGATAGGCTTAGTTGTGTCCTAGGCAGACAGATGTGTGAAGTCTAAGCAATCATGGGCTTTCTCCCTCTGTCAAGACTTGAGTAGTAAGGACATTGCCAACTAAATTGCTTCTTCTAAACTGAAGTGCGTCCCGGTTTCTTTCATTTTAATGGGAGAGTAATAAAGATGAAAGACCAACATTTTAACGGATGGATCCCTGAAGCTACAGAATAGAAATTTATTATGTTTTGAAGGCATACACTAAATTCAGCTATGTAAAAAAAAAAAAAAATTCAAACAACCAGGTTTAAAATAAAATATAATCTGAAAACCTCATGTTCTGTCTCTTCCCAAACTAAGAAACTACAGTGCATACTGTTTTCATTTATTCTTAGAAAACAAGCATGAAAGATTCCGCCCATTCAGATAATGCCAAAAATATGTTTAAACTTTTTTTTTATTCTTCTGAAAAATGATTTGTAAATTGAGGGTCATAGTTCAGCATCAGTTTCATCTTCTGGGATTATCGTTCAAGCCCAGCCTCTAATGGGAGGTGAAATGGTGCGATCCTCTCGCCGCCTTTCTTCTGAACTGTATTACATATCACAAAATGTACATCCATAATTCAGGGCAATTGTCAGTCTTTGTTTTAGAGACGGGGCCGGGGCTGAACGATCCTGGTGGATGAATTATTTCTGGGTTCTCAGGGTGGCCTTCTCTGCACATCAGCCTTGAGGTCCCCGGCTGGGCAGATGGAGAGCCTTGGCTCCAGTTAGCATGCCAAGAAACAAGGGAGTCCCAGCTATTCCCTCCCCTTCCATTGTGATTTGTAAAAGGCCAAATGCTCTTCCTTCGAATTTGTGTTTGCATGCAAAAAATACCAACAATGTCATTGTAGGTCCATTTGATGATGACTCCCATTGTTCACCACCTTCAGCATAAAAAAAAAATCAGGAAATAGTTTGCAGAGAAACTACACAGAAGTTTTGCATGATGTGCTCTAAAATTTGTTATTATATGATTTCATCTGAATGGAGTTTCTCAGGAGGAGGATAGCGCCTTTATAAATGGTCATTAGTATTACATTCAGTATTTATCTAATGAAAGTGCAGCGACAAGTCGCCACCTCTTATTAAAATGAAAATCTTGCATTATGTACTTAAAGAACATTCCAGCTAATGAGGATGTAACGTCCTTGGTACAACACAGACCTCCTTTTTTTGTATTTTCACCCACCACAAGATGCTGGAAACTTGACAAATGATATCATTTAAGACATGCCTGCCGCAGGGACCTGCTTTTTGGCTTCCTGTTCCTGGCTTTTATTTGGGTAACATTTATAATGGCCACCCGACTTGTAATGGGCAATGTTTTAACCCCTTCATAGAGCTCCCAATTAGTGTGAATTTACTACATTCAGGATTTCCTTTAAAATGGGGCAGGGAGTGCTCAGGACTGAAAATATTTTTCTTGATCACTTGACCACATGTGCAAATGGGATAAATAGCATATTTTAGATTTATATAAGGACAGACAAGCAGCATGCAACTTTCAGGAAAAAAAAAAATGATAGGAAAAGACCGAGCATGACCAACTGCGGACGTGAATTTCCTAGGGTTACAGCACAAGTTTTATGAATGTAGCCCAGGTGCAAATGGCCTCACTTGGTGGATGCATAATTACTGCTCTCTATACCGTCTAGTCTCTTGTTTTATTAAATTGCTTGCTATTTATAGTACTTGTTTAGAGGCAAAATTTATGCAAACTTTATTAGCTAATTTTGGGGTTTATTGGGGTTTTTTTTAATTTAGGTTTTCTGTAACTAATATTCTAATTATGGCTCACAAATGTGATCATATTTCAGAAGTCAAAATATAAAACTCTGAGTTCTCAATACTACTAGTGTGGGCATTTTAACCTTGGAATTCCATTTTTTTGTAGACCTTTAGTATCATGTTATTCAACTTGTGAAAGGAGGAATGTTTGATATGAGAACCTTATTACTGTTAACATGAGCAAAGTATGGAACACTGGCCAAAAAAAAGCTATACAAAATAAATAATATCTCCCAATATGTATCAGTTCATGTAATTCTTGATAGTAGAGTTGATTTTTTTTAAGTCAAATAAGATACATATTTCAATTCTGTATGCTTGAGTCTTCTGTATTCTTCTTTCCCTAGACTGAGAAGTTAATGGAATGTGAAAACAAGACTAAAAATGGCTGGGTATTAATACTGTCTTAGCATCTATTTTTTTAATTTTTGTTGAAATATAGCTGATTTACAGTGTTGTGTTAGTTTCAGCAAAGTGATTGAGTTATGTGGATATATATAAAAAATAATGTATATATATTATATAATAATGTATATATATATTCTTTTTCAGATTTTCTCCATTACAAGTTATTATAAGATAATGAGTATAGTTTTCTCTGCTATATAGCAGGTCCTTGTCAGCAATGTGGATAGACCTCAGGATCTAAGGAGCATACTAAGTAAAACACATCAGACAGAGAAATACAAATATCCTGTGATATCACTTGTATGTGGAATTTAAAATATGACACGAATTTATTTTCAAAGCAGAAATAGATTCACAGACATAGAAAACCAAGGAGGAAAAGGGCATGGTTTAAATTAGGAGGTCAGGATTAAAATATACACACCACTATAGATAAAACAGATAACCAGCCTCCGTTCTTGATAAGATGGTTTGGTCCACTGTGGACCCGCCCTTCAGCACTTGCTCACAGCATCTGGGGAGGCGCAGACCCTGTCAGGAAGCGAGTCTTGCGTCTCTGGAGCAGTCGGTAAGTACCCCATGGAGTGCAGTTCAGGGAAAGCGATACACGCCTCATACATGCAGGGAAGCATGAGCCAAAAGTGCGGGTTCCAATGGCCCCCCAAAGTAAGAGTTTCCCTGGAAAGGTACTATTTGACAGTGTCTTCCTGCCAATGTGAAATTAAAATAATAATTAAAACACACCCTGCTGACTGGTGGTAACATCCAATAGGGAAGATGGATTTATGCTCAGAGCTCAGGAAAACGGCCTATAAATCGTCAGCTACCATTATGCCCTATCCCTTCCATGTAAAGAGTGGAACCAAATCTTAGAACGACCTGAGCCCATGGACTCTCTGGCTGGTGGGAGATGCGGAAGCATGTTTAGGCAAGAGACGCTGTCCAGCTGGGAAGTGTCTGCATTGCCCTTTGTGTGCGAGTCCCAGGGCGCAGGAGGAGGCAGCCCGCAGACACAGACCCAGACCTGGGGGGAGTCTGGGATGCTCTCTGCTCATCACAGATGAGAAGACTCCGTTGACCTTTAAGTGGTAAAATTTGGGATTTAAATGACAACCTAGGGCTTCCCTAGGGGTCTAGTGGTCAAGAATATGCCTGCTAATGCAGGGGACATGGGTTCGATTCCTGGTCTGGGAAGATTCCGCATGCTGTGCAGCAGCGAAGCGTGTGTGCCACAACTACTGAAGCCCTTACTCCCTAGAGCCTACGCCCTGCAACAGGAGCCTGCGCTCTGCAACAGAAGAGATGCTACCGCAACGGGACGCCCTTGCACTCCAACTAGAGAGTAGCCCTCACTTGTCGCAACTAGAGAAAGGCTGCACGTAGAAAAAACAGGATAAAATAAATTTTATATATATATATATATCTTTTTTAAAAAAGAGAGAGAATCTGGTTCTACTCACTTTATAAAGGGAGAAAGCAAGACCCAAGAAGATTAGCTGCCTTGTCTAAGGCCGCAGAGAAGCACCAGAGTGCAGGCAAGCTCCTTCCCAGGGCACCAGACTGTCTCTGTCTCACCCTTCCGTAAGTTGCTGAGGTCCTGCCCTCCATGCCTGTTTGAAAGTGTCACAGAATAACAACTGCCTCTGTTATAAATCTTCTGTTGGATGAGGTGATGACCAAACCAGAAACAATATCACGGTTCTGACCACAAAGTGTGTTCCACCCAAGACCCCCCCTTTAATCCAGCACAAGTGAGGTGTTCAGACCACTGACTTCTGCATCATCTAATTATCAGCACTTCCCTGGTAGCTCAGTGGTTAAAGAATCCTCCTGCCAATGCAGGAGACGTGGGTTTGATCCCTGGGTTGGGAATAAACCCTGGAGGAGGAAATGACAACCCGCTCCAGTATTCTTGCCTGAAGCATCCCATGGGCGGAGGAGTCTGGCAGGCTACAGTCCATGAGATCACAGAGTTGGACATGACTGAGCAACTAAACGCGTGTGCATGTGCGCGCACACACACACACGCACACACACACATCTAAATATCACACAGCCTTTTGGGAGGGGGAAAAAACGCTCAACAGAATTAAGGGCTGAATGACCACAATTTCGTTTTAATGCTACAAAGGTCTGATCTCCTGTCAATATATTCTTATGTGTCAAATCATGAATCTCAAATAGAGAAAAAAATTATCACCCCTTGTTGAGGGCTTATTTCCCTCAAGTATTTAATTTGCTTATGTTCTCGCCTATACAGCTTGGACAGCGTTAGTAACAACAAAATATCGAGAATCTGAACTGGCTGATCCCCCTGAAATGGAATTCTGAATCCGGCAGCTTCGGTGCTGCGGTGGCCGGATGCGCACAGCCATGGCGGGAGGCGCCCTAGAGTGAGGGGGCACGTGCTGGGAGATATCGCGGTGGGGCCACGTCTCCTGTTCCCACGGCTAGAATCCCATCCTCTGTACAAAGGACAGATCATAATTAAGGCTCGGAAGCAAGCCCTTCAAAACCACACGATGTTGAACATTCCTGTCTTTCTACGTCATTTCTGTCTTCCTCGAACTCGTGCTAAGAGGCGCAAACTTTCAGCTTTATACGCACACATCCTTTCGCAAGAGAAACAGCTCGTTTTCACATTGAAAGTCCCTCCGCAGAAACAGCAACAATGTCAAAGGCAATCTCCTTTTGTCGATAGCCTCATTTCGCACCAGGGAACTGGAAGCAATAGTGGGCCTTCTGTATGTTGTTGGAATTTACATTTGGAAATTGGATTGTCTCCTTGAGGGTTTTTTCTCAAAGTAACTTTCGGAGAATTACTTACATCTGGGTAGCTGGGTACGGGACACGAGGTTGAGCTCAAGAGCCTAGGCATCACCCCAGCTATAACAATGAAAGTGCCCTCATTGTCTTTACCGAAGGGTAGTCCTCATTTCAACTTTCACATATACTTTATGTAACATCTTGGAACGTGCTTAGAATAGAATACAATGTCACTATCTTCCCTCTTCCCTATCAAATTGATAAAGGAGAATGATGCCCACTTTACAGGTGGGAAAATGCAGTGCAGAAAAGTTACTTTCGTCGATCACTTAGTCACTTGTTGAACAGCGACTTGGGGTCCAAGGCTGTCTTCCACTCAAGAGTGCACACACTCACCCACCCAGCTTTCTTGTACACATGCTCATCTGTCACAACACAGCTCCTGACTCAGTAGCACCGGGTCAGGGGCCTGGGAGCCTGCATTTCCCAGGGGCCACTGACACCAAGCCTGAAGAGTTAGCAGCGAGGCCCTGGATCTCACGACCTTTGAAGAGACTCCCATTCCATGAAATGCTGTTTTATAGAGCATTTCTGAGCACGCTGTAGGTGACCTAGGAATGAATTACAGAGCATGTGCTTCATACAGCTATGAACATGCATTTTATCCTTGAGTTTTTGGCTCCTTTACTTTAACCATCAGCTGTGATGCCTGTTGTCTGTCTGCTATTGGAGGGCTCCGGTGGTAAGTGTTCTCACCCAGTTCAAAGTGGGGCAGAAGGAGGCATAGAAAGGGCATAGGAGTGTCCTGAGACTGCAGCGCCACGAAGATCATGGCATCTGGCCCCATCCCTTCATGGCAAATAGATGGGGATAAAGGGGAAACAGTGGCAGATTTTATTTTCTTGGGCTCAAAAATCACTGTGGATGGTGACTGCAGCCATGAAATTAAAAGACACTTGCTGCTAAGAAAAGCTGTGACAAACCTAGACAGTATATTAAAAAGCAGATACATCACTTTGCCAACAAAGGTCTATATAGTCAAAGGTTTGGTTTTTCCAGGAGTCATGTATGGATGCGAGACTTGGACCATAAAGAAGGCTGAGCACCAAAGAATCGATGCTTTTGAATTGTGCTGAAGAAGACTCTTTATGAGTCCTTTAGACTGCAAGGAGATCAAATCAATCAATCCTAAAGGAACTCAACCCTGAGAATTCATTGGAAGGACCAATGCTGAAGCTGAAGCTGCAATATTTTGGCCACCTGTTGCAAACAGCCAACTCATTGGAAAAGATCCTGATTCTGGGAAAGATTAAGGACAGGAGGAGAAGGAGGTGATAAGAGGATGAGATGGTTGTTTGGCATCACTGACTCAATGGACATGAGTTTGAGCAAACTCCAGGAGATCGTGAAGGACAGGGAGGCCTGGAGTACCGCAAGACATGGTGGGACGTGACTTCACATTGGAAGAGCAACAGTGGAGAAAAGTATGCAGTTTCCTTCACACTGCAGTCCCACTCCACTGCTGGGCATACACCCCAAGAAAACCATAATTCAAAAGCATGCATGTACCCCGGTGTTCATTGCAGCACTATTTACAATAGCCAAGATATGGAAGCAACCTCAATGGTCATCAACAGATGAATGGATACAGATGTGGTACATGTATACAATGGAATATTGCTCGGCCATAAAAGAGGACGAAATAATGCCATCTGCAGCAACATGGATGGGCTGAGAGAGTGTGATACTGAGTGAAACAAGTCACCATAAGACAAATATCACACGGTATCACTTACATGGAGAATCTTAAAGAGAAACAAATGAACTTATCCACAAAACAGAAATAGAGTCACAGATGTAGAAAGCAAACTTACGATTACCAGGGGTGTTAAGGGGGTGGGATGGGGATAAATGGGAAAACTGAGATGGACATATTCATGGTACTGTATATAAAATAGATAACTAATAAGGATCTGTCTATAGCACAAGGAACTCTACTCGATATTCTGTCATGACTTAGAAGGGAAAAGGATCTGAAAGACTGGGGATACATACATGTGTGTACGTAATAGAGCTTTGTCCCCCTGGCGGGTGCTCTTTGTCCCAGGCTTCCTGAATGGCAGCGTGGGCTGAAGCGGCAGCCCCCCGCCCCTGCACCAGCCTCACCCGGTCCAAACCGCTTGGAAGCGCGTCATCGGGGGCCCCCCTCTCCCCCAGGGACGTAGGAGGGGCCTGTGGCCACGCCCCTGGGTTCATCCCCAGTCTGGCGTCGCCGTGACAACCTGTCTGCACCGCCCTCTGCGTTACTTGTCGTCATAAAATCCGAGGCCTGGGCAGCCGCTCTGCCGGCACCCTCCGTGGTGTCGGGTACCAGTGGGCCGGAGAGCGCCGAGGGCCAGCGCCTCCTCCTCACACGAGGACCCTGCGGGGCGCGGGAGCGTCTGTGGACGCCGCCCGGGGCGGGGGCGATCCGAGCAGAGAGGGACCCAGGCCCGGTTAGGTGGGCGAGGGGCGCTGGACTGCTGTCGTGCTAACCTGTGCCAGTCGGCAGCCTCCACTGCTCCTGTCCTTTCAAGACGACACTCCCCCAGCGATCTCGTTACCGTGAACACATGTGTTCCTGTTGCCAGGCTCTCCTCGCAGCCCCAGACTCGTGAAGGGGGAGACTGTGGTGCTAACACAGGATGGTTTCTCTGCTCTCCCCCGATCCTGCTGGGGCACCGGGAGGCCAGGGCCCGGGGAGAGCACAGCCTGTGTGTGGGGCGCAGGGCGGGCAGAGGCTTGGCTGGGCCCGGAGGCCCTGGGCTGCGGTCGGGGCGGTAAGGAGCCCCAGACGAAGGCCGTCTGCAGGACAGGGGCCCTGTCCGCCAGCGTGGGCACCCATGTCTCTACCGGAAGGCGCTAACTTGCGGCGGGAGCACCGAGGCCCCCCGCCACGCGGCGCTGCCCGCAGGAACCCTGCACAGGGGAGGGGCGTGTGTGCAGAGCTAGGTGCCGGGGAGGGGCGGGGGTGTTCAACAAGCACCTACTGAGCTCCAGGCTGTGTGCTGAGCGCCGGATGCACTGACTTCTCCTAGTCCCCCGAATGAAACCGACCCTCAGCTGGAGCCACACATGTAATGCAAAATGCTGTAGTGGCCACAGGAACAAAGGTGAAATCACTTTTCCTAATGTACTTTATTGAGCCCAATGTATCCAAAATATTATCGTTTCAACTCGTAATCAATACAAAAATCATTGCGATGTTTTAATTCTTGTTTGTAAACAAGGCACATTTCAAGCACTTACTCACTGAGAGGCTCAGGCCTGTCAAACTGGGGAGTGGGGGTCTAGGCTGTGAGCCTAATAGGGGGAGGTTCTGGGCTGTGAGCCCAATGTGGGGGACTGTTCTGGGGCTGAAAGTTCAGCATGGGTGGGGGTCCTGGGCTGTTTACAGAGAGGGAGACTGAAGCCACAGAACTAGTGAATAAAACTGCAGGGTAACCAGGTGAAGTTAGCGGTAAAGAACCCAGCTGCCAATACAGGAAACATAATGAGATGCGGGTTCGATCCCTGGGTAGGGAAGATCCCTGGAGGAGGGCATGGCAGCCCACTCCAGTATTCTTGCCTGGAGAATCCCACGGATAGAGGAGCTTGGCAGGCTCTAGTCCATGGGGCCGCAGAGTCAGACACAACTGAGCCTAAGCAACTAACACTTTCACGTTCAAGGCCCGAGGTGGCCTGTCTCCACCATCTGCAAGATTTCCTACCCTGGGTGCGCCCCTCGAACCACTCACTCCAGGCTCCCACTCCAGGAAACCAGGCCTCAGGGGAGCGCCCCGGCAGACCACGAATTGCACAGCGAGGTCTGCCTACCATCCTCCGCTGGGGAACTGAAGCTCTGGGGGGGCCCAGGAGTGAGCCTGGGAGACCACCCAGGTTCCCACCCTGTCCCCAGGCTCTGCCCTGAGCTTCTCGCGCCTGGTGTGGTCTGGGACAAGCCGTGACGACATCTCGGAATCCTATCGCTCCTCTGGCAGGTAGCAACCCCCTGATGGAGCCCTTGCCCAGGGGCCCCGGACATGGGAGCAGCTCTGGCCCCACAGGGAAGGGGGCTGGGGGCGGGGACAGCCTCCCCACTTCGTTCCTCTCTCATCCCTTCTTCCTCTTCCACTCTCTCCCTTCTTCACCTACTTTAGAAAAAGATTGAAACCATTGCCTCTGCTTCCCCGTGCAATTCAACTACTAGGTTTAAGGTCTGTTAAAATGCTCCCCAATCCTAGGATTCAGATCTTAATTGTATTAGTCTTACATGAAAGAGAAACTGTAGGTACATTTTCTGTTTATTAAAAAAAAAAAAGTCACGTGTGGAATGGCACATTTTGGTTGCACAACACTGCTGGTATGTTATTTATTGCAAAGGAAAATTATCGTGCTGATAAGAAAATAGTGTCACTTAAAAATTAGGTGGTTCCCAATCAACTTATGACAGTAATTGCTGCAGTGTCCTCTTTGATTTAGATATAGTAATATCAATGTAATTGCCACTGGGAAAAAATTATAATGGCTGTTAATGATAACTAACACATAAATGGCAATGAACAGGAACATGTATTTTATATCGGATTCAGCCCTAGAGCAGCCGTAAGAAACCCAGTGGTTTCAGCAATCTGGCGCCAGTCCCTCAAGGAGCCAAGCCCTGGAGTTCTCCCTTGTAAACGAGGGGGTGGGTGGTGGCGGGGAGTGCAGGGGCGTCCTCAGCCTCTCCTGGGCTCAATAATGGGGGTCCTCACTACCCCCTCCCCCAGGCAGAGGTAGGACTGCACCAAGAGGAGCCAATGGCCCAGAACCTGCATCTGCCACAGGAGCAGGAAGGCGCGAGAAGTTTCACTGGGAGGTCGTCCAGGGCCCTATTCCCTGCCCTAAACGAGGATGCAGACTCCACAGACATGGTCTCTGTCCCCCGCCGCAGACTTCAGGGGAGGCAGCAGTGCCCTGGTTCTGTGTGAACAGCATCTGATTTCCCTCCCGCCCCAGCCCAGCGAGGTTTGCCAAGTGAAGTTGCTCACCGTGGAGAAGGTGGATGAGACCGGTGGCCTGGGTCCCACGTGATACATGGGCACATCCACTGATGGCACAGACCCTTTATCAGGAAGACACTTTGTTCTGGCTCTTAAGGGGATGAATTACCTGGATGCCAGTTGAGCTTAGTCCTTAACCTATTTGCTTCCCTGGTGGGTCAGAAGGTAAAGAGTCTGCCTGCAATGTGGGAGACCCGAGTTTGACCCCAGGTCAGGAAGATCCCCTGGAGAAGGAAATGGCAACCCACTCCAGTATTCTTGCCTGGAAAATACCCGGACCCAGGAGCCTGACAGTCTACAGTCCGTGGGTTGCAAACAGTTGGACACGACTGAGCAATTTCACTTTCCTTCTTTCTTAACCTACTTAACTTGTTAGTGGCTGTCATCACCTAGTGAAGAGGGAGCCCTGGAGAGGTGAGGCTCCAGGCAGGAGAAACTGCAGAAGGACAACAGATGGGGAGGTCCTCCCTGGACTCAGGTGGGCTTGGGGGCCTGGGCGCCAGGCTGGACTCCGCCCCACTCCCTGGACACGGGTGAGTCACAGGGCCGCAGAAAACAGTAAAGGAGGGCTTGAGCTGCACAGGTGGACCCAGGACGTGGGCCCAGCTTTCCCACAGAGGTGGCTGGACATTCCCGCTGAGGTCCTGGGAGAGGAACCCTAATCCAGCAGACCTAAGGGAGCTGAGAGCCTTCAGAGATGCTAACCGTAACAGCAGCGTCTTCCCTTCACTTCACACTGGGCAAAACACCACACTAACTGCTGACTCAGACCTCATTTTACTCGAAGCAAACACCACAGGTGGTTTCTAATCTTCATCCCATTTTACAGAAACAGGGAGGCACAGAGAGGGGGTCACTTACCTACCGTCGTCCAGTGTCACAGCCAAGTTTGGGATGAGCCGTCGGACCCCAGAGCCTGTCCTTCGGACCAACATCACACTTGCAGATGGTGCTGGTGAGAGTCTGTGCCTAAGAACTTTGGCCCAGGTAATCTACAAGGTTCCATCCAACTTCATAACCTATGATGATGTGAAGCCTGATGGACGTAAGAGGCACAGACATTTCCAGAGTGTGGGGTGATGCCGGGGCTCCACCCGGGGCATAGTCATCGGCAGCCCTGGGCAGCAAGAAGCCCCCTGGGCACCCCTGGCAAGGGGGCAGGCGGGGGCCTTCCTGATCTTCTGTGCAGCCAAGGCCAGTGACAGGGGATCTCTTCTCAAGTGAGTCATCTTTGATTCCAGAAATTTCCTCCAATCACTGACTCTGATTCTCCAAATTTATTTCATCTTATCAGCAGGCATCAGGAAAGATTTCCACACCCTTATGGCTCAGCCCTTCTTATCTGAGCAGCGATTCCCCGCAGCCCTTCCCGCTCTGACCTTCTGAGTCTCACGCAGGTATGGGGTGTCCTCCCCTCACCAAGAACACACGCTTTCGCCTCCCTTTCCTTCACTTTCTTTCCCAACCTGCTCCACTCAAACAATACTGAAAAGACAGTACACGGCCATTGTCTATTGACCTAGGAAAACTTCTGTGGAGTTCTGAATTACTTAAAGAGCACGTTGCTCCTCCAGCGTTTTCCCTGCATGCCACACATTTCAATGATTTGATTTATTAAGAGCAGTGTAAAAGCTACGGGCTTCCCTGGTGGTTCAGATGGTAAAGACTCTGCCTGCAATGCTGGAGACCCAGATTTGATCCCTGGGTCAGGAAGATCCCCTGGAAAAGGGAATGGCAACACACTCCAGTATGCTTGCTGGGAAAAGTATCATGGACAGAGGAGCCTGGCGGGCTGCAGTCCACGGGGTCGCAGAGTCGGACAGGACTGAGCAGCTAAGCGCACGGAAGCCTTGCACACGCCTTCCCCCTCTCATCACACACACTTTGTCTGTTGGACGTTATGGCCCGAGACTGGCCATTGGATGAAGACACTGACTTCACTAAAGACGTGTCTCTGACTGGTGGGATAGGGATGATACCACACTCTGTGGCAGGCAGTATCAAACATCTTCAAAGCACTGAAAGTCTTCAACACATGAATGCCATTTCTAGAACCCCAGCCAGGAGAAATCATCAGAGATGAACAGAACTATTTGTGTAGGAAGCTTTTCATCACGGTGTAATTCATAGCACATCCCTGGGCAGGAATATAATGTATCCATTAAAATCATTAAAGAAATTTCATGATGCATGATCAAATAAAAGATACCAGATGATAAAGCTGTACACACTTGTACAACACGACAGAGATTTTTGTAAATCATATATGCATTTAAAAAGCCCTGAAGGAAATCAGCTACAACGGTAAAAATGGTTATTTCTCAACATGAGCAGCAGAAACATATTGCTACTTTATGCGGTTTTCTGTATTTTCTGAATATCCTATAGTAACCATATGTGTTTTATTTAAAAAGTAAATAGCCTTTTAGTCATTTCTATGTTAGTAATAATAATAACAAGAGCTGACCCATTAGAAAAGATCCTAATGTTGGGAAGGATGGAAGGCAAAAGGAGAAGTAGGCAACAGAGGATGAGATGGTTGGATGGCATCACTGATTCGATAGACATGAATCTGAGCAAATTCTCAGGGATGGTGAAGGACAGGGAAGCCTGGCGTGATGCAGTCCATGAGCAAAGAGTCGGACATGACTTAGCGACTGAATAGCAACAACATCCCTGTGGCATCAGTAAGCAGGCATGGGGCAGTCTGCTCCTGGTGGAGGGGGTCTCTCAGAAACCGCAGATTCCATGGGGGGGCCACAGAGCTGCCGCTGACCACCAGTCCAGAGAAGGTGGAGGCCAGCACTGCCTCTCCCCCACCCCGCCACCCTCTGTGGGTGGTTCAGAATATCAGCAGCACTGGAGCACTTTATCTGGGGGTAAATCGCACCTGACATCGGCCCTGATCACGTCCTGGGTGACGTTTTGAGATCCTGGCCCAGTGGCATGCGACCCACTCCTGACTTGCGGTGCCCGAGAGGCACGTGAGAAAAGAGAAACGAGCCACGTGGAAAGAAAGGAGGTCGAGGATCTAGCAGAATACCTCACGCTACTAGCTGTAGAGAATGCACGCTGAAAACCCAGCATGCATTCAGTCCAAAAGGTGAGTTGAATGGGCATTCACCAAATGGATCCAGAAACAAGTTGGAAGTTAGTTCTGGATGAAAAAGGTGAAAATCATAGAGTTAGATACTGAAGAGCTGTGTCTGCTGGCCATTCTGCAGCTGTGGGTTTGAATCACTGTCACTTCTCTTCGTGTATTTACGGCCAGAGATAACTTTTGTCTGGGGCTGATTCACTTGGTACGGGTTTAACTAAGAGCAAGTCACGATGTCTCATCAAAGCATTTTACTGGATCAAACCATAAGTTCAAACAACCAGCTAGAAGGCTCTGGTTTCTAAAACACCCACTACTTCACTGAGTTCTGGCCTGGGATGGGGCATTGGAGGTTGGCGGGGCAAAGGCAGCTCACCAGCCCCATCTCCTCCCCTTACTGCGATGAGGACACACCTGGGTCCAGTCCCCGTGGCCTCAGGGCCGAGTGAACAGGAGGCCTGCAGACACGTCCAGGCCAGGCTGATGGCTACCCTGCCCCTGGGCGCCTCCGTCTCACCGGCTCAGGCCTCACAGGCTCTCAGACAGCCTAGAAAAAAACCCGGGACCCAGACTCGCCTGTGCTGGCACCTGGTCAGTAACGCCCCCATCTCACCTCCAACACGAGGGGAAAAAACCATGTCTACTGTGTTCAGCTGCGAAATGTGGGTCTGCCTTTTTCAACAGCTGTCAGAACCCTAATGAATGTGGACAGACACCCAACTTTGAGCCTATTTTACACAGCCACTCATTGTGTCTGGGATATTTTTTCAGAAAATTACAAAGTGAGAAACCAGTGCACTCAATTTCATTTATGGATTTCCCTTCCAAACCAATTCAGGCCGAAAGGAAGAAGGAGACATCTCAGCTTCACGGGACCTGAACAAGCATCTCCAGGTGAGTCAGACACTTAAAAACCCGCCTCACACCGCCGCCCCAAGAACAGCGCTGGCAGAGGTGAGGCTGCTTCTCAGCACAAAGTGGCTGCCAGGTGCCAGCCCCAGATGTCCCATCCAGGAACACTCCCCTCCCTCGCTTTTCCCGCCAGATTCCCTGTGTGTGGATCGCTGTCGCCTCCTCCCTCGCAGCCTCCTGCCTTGCCTGTACCCCATTACCTCCAGCTGTGATGTCTCCTCTTAAGCACAGCTCTTTCACTGCCCTCCCCGTCTTCTCTTTCCACTCCCACTCCCCTCATTTCTGGAAGAAAACCGATAAAGCACAGGAGCCCCCTGGAAGGCACCACCTCAGCCCCATGCCCCGGTCAACATGTGTGTCTGCCCCTGCCTCCAACTCCTGTCCCCCGGCAGGCACTGCCTGTGCTCCCACCGGGAACGTCCTTTGGTACCGAAAGCGTTCCTGGGTCCCTCGCTGCTCAAAAACCATTGGACAGGCCAGGCTGGTGGAAAGGAGAGTCTGCTGTAATTCAGATGCCAGCAACTGGTGGGGGAGGGCAGATGTCCATCCAAGGGCCCACTCCCCTGCCCCTGGCCACCAGCTGGGCAAGAGCTTTTAGAGACAGAAGTGGGCGGGGTGGGGGGGCGGCTACATGCAGAAACGGCGCAGTCAGCTCTGACAGTCATCATTCAACTGGTAATTGGTGGTCTGTGCAGCGGCATCTTGGTGGTTTTAAGTACAGTTAATCTTTCAGCTCAGGGTCCGTCTGCCTCTGTTGCTCTTGTGGCCAGTTCTCAGAACTCTGGCAGCTCATGTATATGTACAGCCTGGTCATCGTGCAGCCAACTTCCACCTGGGTTTGCAGCATCTGTAAGACAGCTCACAGCATACAGCTCAGAAGAGTACCTATGGCCCTTGAGAAAGAACTAAAGGTCCTTGACTGTGCTTAACGATTACACTTTTATTATTTAGTCTCCTTTGACTGTTTCCCTTTGTTTCCACATTTCTCCCTTCTCTAATGACACTTATTCTTTGAAGTTTTCCACAGACAAGAGGCAGGCAGAGGACATGGGGGGTGGTCAGGAACCATAGGGTCCTGCTCCGTTCCACCCCCACCCCCGGAACCCTGCTCTCCATCTCTTCCAGGAAGTCCCCCATTCCTACCTTCTCTCCCTGACACCGGCTCCCCCCTCTCAACAGGGACACATGTCACATGTTCTGTTCATCGGGTCATTCTGAGCGAATGCCCATGGTCACTGCCGCCAAGACTGTGAAAGGCACAGGGACCCAGTGGGTAAGACTCAGCCCCAAACTTGAGTCTCTCCAGCCGAGACCCGCAGGGACCCTGCACTCACGATGCCTCAGCCAGGAATGCCTCCCCGCTCTGACCAGATCCGTGGAAATGTTGGCAGAAGCTGGCGATGTGTGTTGACCTCTTGGAAAATCTTTGAGCAGAGCTGCAGCCAGGAGATTGAAGGATTATATAACTGCTGGAACATGTCGGCTCTGTAATGACAAGACAAATGGCAGAACGCAGTGCAATTTTTAGTGTGATAGGACCAATATTTTTATCTAGAGGGAAATAAGTTATTGAATTTATCATTAAAATCCAACAGAAAGATAAGACTTTATGTACAAAAGTGCATTCACTCACAACTTTCTACTTATATATTTGGTTCAGTTCAGTTTAACTCAGTCCCTCAGTCATGTCTGACTCTTTGTGACCCCATGCAGCATGCCAGGCTTCCCTGTCCATCACCAGCTCCTGGAGTTTACCCAAACTCATGTCCATTGAGTCGGTGATACCATCCAGCCATCTCATCCTCTGTCATCCACCTTTTCCTCCTGCCTTCAATCTTTACCAGCATCAGATAGTGTAAAGGTCCTTGGGCTTCCCAGGTGGTCCTAGTCGTAAAGAACCCGCCTGCCAATGCAGGAGGCATGAGAGATATAGGTTCATCCGTAGGTTGGAAAATCTCCTGGAGGAGGGCATGGCAACCCACTCCAGTATTCTTGCCTGGAGAATGCCATGGACAGAGGGCCCTGACTGAAGTGACTTAGCATGCACACACGTAGTGTAAAACACCTAATTTTAAAGCTGATAATTTCCTGGGTGATATTATTATGAATTTAATTTAGGCTGCCCTAATAGGTCTCTTCCAACAACAAAAGAGAACACTCTACACATGGACATCATCAGATGGTCAATACTGAAAACAGATTAATTATATTCTTTGCAGCCAAAGATGGAGAAGCTCTATACAGTCAGCAAAAATAAGTTCAGGAGCTGACTGTGGCTCAGATCGTGAACTCCTTATTGCCAAATTCAGACTTAAGTTGAAGAAAGTAGGGGAAACCACTAGACCATTCAGGTATGACCTAAATCAAATCCCTTATGATTAAATCCCTTATGATACACTGGAATTGACAAATAGATTCAAGGGATTAGATCTGATCGAGTGCCTGAAGAACTATGGATTCATAGTTCATATGTTCATGACATCATACAACAGGCAGTGATCAAGATCATCCCCAAGAAAAAGAAATGCAAAAAGGCAAATGGTTTTCGGAGAAAGCCTTACAAATAGTTCTGTAAAGAAAAGATGTGAAAGGAAAGGAGAAAAGGAAAGATATACCCATTTGAATGCAGACTTCCAAAGCATAGCAAGGAGAGATAAGAAAGCCTTCCTCAGCGATCAATGCAAAGAAACAGAGGAAAACAATACAACCGGAAAGTCCCGAGATCTCTTCAAAACAATTAGAGATATTAAGGGAACATTTCATGAGAAGATGGGCTCAATAAAGGACAGAAATGGTGTGGACCTAGCAGAAGCAGAAGATATTAAGAAGAGGTGAGACACAGATGTAAAGAACAGACTTTTGGACTTTGTGGGAGAAGGCGAGGTTGGGATGATTTGAGAGAATACCACTGAAACATGTATATTACCATATGTGAAATAGATCACCAGTCCAGGTCCAATGCATGAGACAGGGTGCTCAGGGCTGGTGCACTGGGATGACCCTGAGGGATGGGATGGGGAGGAAGGTGGGAGGTTGATTCAGGATGGGGACCACATGTACATCCATGGCGGATTCATATAAATGTATGGCAAAAACCACCACAATATTGTGAAGTGATTAGCCTCCAATTAAAATAATTAATTTTTTTAAAAAAGAAGAGGTGGCAAGAATACACAGAAGAACTGTACAAAAAAGATCTTCATGGCCCAGATAAACATGACGGTGTGATCACTCACCTAGAGCCAGACATCCTGGAATGTGAAGTCAAGTGGGCCTTAGAAAACATCACTATGAACAAAGCTAGTGGAGGTGATGGAATTCCAGCTGAGCTATTTCATATCCTGAAAGATGATGCTGTGAAAGTGCTGCACTCAATATACCAGCAAATTTGGAAAACTCAGAAGTGGCCACAGGACTGGAAAAGTTCAGTTTTCATTCCAATCCCAAAGAAAGGCAATCCCAAAGAATGTTCAAACTACTGCACAATTGCACTCATCTCACAGGCTAGCAACGTAATACTCAAAATTCTCCAAGTGAGGCTTCAACAGTATGTAAACCGTGAACTTCCAGATGTTCAAGCTGGTTTTAGAAAAAGCAGAGGAACCAAAGATCAAATTGCCAACATCTGTTGGATCATGAGAGTTGGATCATGAGAGTTGGATCTGTTGGATCATGAGAGTTCCAGAAAAATATCTATTTCTGTTTTATTGACTATGCCAAAGTCTTTGACTGTGTGGATCACAACAAACTGTGGAAAATTCTTAAAGAGATGGAAATACTAGACCACATGACCTGTCCCCCGAGAAATCTGTATGCAGGTCAAGAAGCAACAGTTAGAACTGCACATGGAACAATAGACTGGTTCCAAATAGGAAAAGGAGTACGTCAAGGCTGTATATTGTCACCCTGCTTATTTAACTTATATGCAGAGTACATCATGAGAAATGCTGGGCTAGATGAAGCACAAGCTGGAATCAAGATTGCTGGGAAAAAATTTCAATAACCTCAGGTATGCAGATGACAGCACCCTTAAAGGCAGAAAGTGAAGAAGGACTTAAGAGCCTCTTGATGAAAGTGAAAGAGTAAACTGAAAAAGTTGGCTTAAAACTTAACATTCAGAAAACTAAGATCATGGCATCTGGTCCCATCACTTCATGGGAAGTAGGTGGGGAAACAGTGGAAACAGTGACTGACTTCATTTTGGGGGTCTCCAAAATCACTGCAGATGGTGACTGTACCCATGAAATTAAAAGATGCTTGCTCCTTGGGAAAAAAGTTATGACCAACACAGATAGCATATTAAAAAGCAGAGACATTACTCTGCCAACAAAGTTCCGTCTAGTCAAAGCTATGACTTTTCCAGTGGTCATGTATGGATGTGAGAGTTGGACTATAAAGAATGCTGAGCTCCAAAGAATTGATGCTTTTGAACTGTGGTGTTGGAGAAGACCCTTGAGAGTCCCTTGGACTGCAAGGAGATCCAACCAGTCCATCCTGAAGGATATCAGTCCTGAATACTCACTGGAAGGACTGATGCTGAAACTGTACTTAGCCACCTGATGCAAAGAACTGACCCATTGGGAAAGACCCTGATGCTGGGAAAGATTGAAGGTGGGGAGAGAAGGGGACGACAGAGGATGAGATGGTTGGATGGCGTCACTGACTTGATGGACATGAGTTTGAGCACTTTGATTGTGAAAGACAAGGAAGCCTGGTGTGCCGTACCCATGGGGTCACAAAGTCAGACACAACTGAGAGACTAACACATGCACATGCTCCACACTGACCTCATTTTAACTGGATCACATCAGTCAAGACCCAGTAAGGCAACCAGTACCAGGGTGAATACACCAGCGTCACCATACCTGGGGACACAATACAACCCACACTGAGCATTTCTTGTTTGGCAGACACTTTGCTTTTCCCTGGACAGGTCTGACAGAATGTGGTCCACTGGAGAAGGGAATGACAAACCACTTCAGTATTCTTGCCTTGAGAACCCCATGAACAGCATGAAAAGGCAAAATGATAGGACACTGAAAGAGGAACTCCCCAGGTCGATAGGTGCCCAATATGCTACTGGAGATCAGTGGAGAAATAACTCCAGAAAGAACGAAGGGATGGAGCCAAAGCAAAAACAACACCCATTTGAGGATGTGACTGGTGATAGGAGCAAGGTCCGATGCTGTAAAGAGCAATATTGCATAGGAACCTGGGATGTTAGGTCCTTGAATCAAGGCAAATTGGAAGTGGTCAAACAGGAGATGATAAGAGTGAACATCGACATTCTAGGAATCAACGATCTAAAATGGAATGGAATGGGTGAATTTAAGTCAGATGACCATTATATCTACTACTGTGGGCAGGAATCCCTTAGAAGAAAAGGAATAGCCATCATGGTCAACAAGAGTCCGAAATGCAGTACTTGGATGCAATCTCAAAAATGACAGAATGAGCTCTGTTTGTTTCCAAGGCAAACTATTCAATATCACAGTAATCCAAGTCTATGCCCCAACCAGTAA